AAAAGAAAAATGGACAATTGTCAATTTTTCATTGCCATTATAGCTTCAGTAAAACAAATATATTAATTTTGTTAAAAATTCTATACAAAAAATTGAAATAAGACCGAGAAAAAAAATTTAAAAAAAAAAAATTTTTTTAAATTGCAAAAATTGAATTTCAAAATATTTTTTGCTTAAAAAATGTCAATTTTTGAATAATACTGTACAAAAATGAATATATTTTTCTTTCTGAGTGAAATGCAATTTAATTAATTTCATTTTCCTGCCTAGGCACCTCAAGGCTAATTATTTTCTTTTTATACGCGGCAAATGCAATTAAAACATTCTATTTGGCAGGAGAATTTAAAAAAAAAAAGAATTTATTCCACTTCTAATGATAAAAATTGTTAAATAATAAAATAAAAATTTTAAATTCGAGACAAATTTTTAAAAATTAATGAGTGATGTAATGAGACAAAAAATATATTTGCATTATGACAAATATTTTCAGCTCTAATAGTTAATCTTATTTGTTAAAAAAAACAATTTTTTTTAGTCAAATTTCAACTTTTTTTTTAGTACAAAAAATTACAAAATTTTAAATATTTAAAAATATTTTATTAACATTTGTTTTTTTCTATGAGAAAAAAACGAAAATTTAATTATTACATAAACTAAAAGCAAATGATGAAAATTCAGCGACATTTTTTTAAAAGTCGAAGAAGTAGTGTTTCAAAGGGTTTGTATTATTAATATTATTTATTATTATATTGTAACATTAAAATTTTATTTTTGTAGTTTTTTTTGTTATTTTTTTTTTAAGTATCAAGAAAATTTTTAAAAAATTAAAATTTTGACTAATAAATAGTTTAAAAATTTTCCTCTCTAAAAATAAGAATTTAATAATGCAAAATGCCGATAGTAATCAAACAACTTTGGTATTATTATAAACACAGATTTGTAGGTTATGTTTGTCAACAGATGTAGATAAGAAGTATAATCATAATCAGTTGAAAAATATTTGTCAATCTCAACACATATATCGATGGCTCCTAGAATAAATTTCATAAATTTCATAAATTTGTTATTTGCGTTGAAAAAAAGGAAAGGAAAAAAAAACTAAGAGAAAAAAAGAGGAAAAAAAAAAATCTTTTTTTTTGCTTTTTTCTTCTTTTTCGCCTTTTTTCTCATAGTTTTTTTTCCTTTTCAGTAGAAAAAAGAAAAAAAAAATAAAAGATAAAAACGAAAAAAAAAGAAAAATAGAAAACAATTACTTATGATAAAAGTAATCTAATAAACCTACTAAACATTTAAAAGAAAAATATTTTTTGTTTTAAAAAGTAATAATTTTAGTTATTACTTGAAACATTAAAATCAAGTCAACTTTTTACAATACATTTCTTCACCATTTCTTTACCGACAATTAGAAGTAAAAAAAGAAAAGAAAATTATACATACAGTTTAAACTCATTCTTCCGATTTTGAATTTTGAGACAAAAACTTGAAATTCAAATATAACAATAAAAGTTGGAAACTCCATTTAAAATCGTGACGACCAAAAAGAAACTTGAAGAATATTTAGTTTTGCATAAATGACTGTAAATTTAATTATACCTTAAGAGCAACTAAATACTTTTCAAATGTGTCTTGCTCTCTTTTTTAAAAAAAAAAAGCAGATTCCAAGTTTTATTATTATAGAAACTGTAAAAACTTCCAGAGTTAAATAACATAAATTTATAACTTTACATTTGCTTTTTTTTTGTTATAATTTAAATAAATAACCATATTTATAACTCTTAAATAAATTTTCTTTAATTTTAGTAAAATGAACATTATCTCTATCAAAAATTGCAATTTTCAGGATTCCTACAGAAATCTGAATTTAAAATTCCATACCTTTTCCATGATTTCCAGGTCAAATTTTTACGAAATTCCAGTGGAATTTTAAATCTAATTTCATTATTTTTGTGCTCTTGGAAAATACTTTACTTATTTAATAGTCTCGACTCTTTGGTAAAAAAATCTAAAATTATCTAAAATTATCAAAAATTCAAAAATCCGAATTTCTTAAAATTCAACATTTTTTCTTCTCTTTTATGCCATTTAGCTTTATTATTATTTGAATTTCTATTCAAGAGAAAAAATGGAAAACAGAAAAAATTTAGAAACTTTTAAAAATTCCAGGCCTTTTCCATGATTTTCCATATTTCCAGAAGCCTTTTAAAAATTCCATACCATTTCCATGATTTCCAGATTCTGTAGGAACCCTGAATTTTTCACTAAATTTAAAGAAAAAATACAAAAATTTTAAATAAATAATTAATTCGGATGGATAATAATTATAACATAATATTATAATTATAAATTATAATTAAATAGTGAATTTTGAAAAGATTTCGACTCTGAAAACCGTAAGAGTCATTTTCACATAACAAAAGCAAGCGAAAATGACTCTTACGGTTTTTAAGTTTAACTTCTTTTCCGAATTCATTTTCCAATTAAAACTAAATTATAAAAATTATATTATATATAATAAAATTGTCTCATTGTTTAGAACAAAATGTTTCTTTCGATGTTTAAAAGACCCTCTTCATATTATATATTTTATACTCTCTCAAAATTTGTGTTCAAGAAACGCAAAAAATAATATTATTATAAATTTAAAAAAAAAAAAAAAAAAAAAAAATCTTCTAAAAAAAATTGTTTGTTTTTGAGGTTAATTCAAAGGGTTGAAGTCCCTTAAGGACAACAAATAAAAGAATAAAAATTAGACCATTATTATAATTTCTAAAATGTAATTTACGACACGTACTTTTAGGATTAATTTACTTTCCGATATTCCATTTTTGTAAATTTACTGATGTCGACCTGTATAGTTTTACGATGTTATATAAAGTAACATGGCAGTTTATGTTCTTTTTGTTTTTAATATCGTGGGACGTGTGGTCACTTTTTCCCACGTTGGATAATGGCGCTAGTGAGAGAATTTACACCAGTAAAAGAACAAGATGTCAATTTTTTTTATATATTCAACAAATTACTCCTTTTTCTTATTTGTAAAAAAAAATACGATTTTCTAAATTACTAATTTCCTGTTTCATATTTTCCTGTTTTAACCAAATTTTTATGTTAATTTAACTAAAATTTTGTTGATTCACACAAAATTTTGTCAATTTACCAAAAATTTGGTAATTTTAAACAAATTTTTATTATTTTAACCAAAAATTTGTTTATTCCAAACAATTTTTGTAATTTGACTAAAATCCGGTTGCTTGAAACAAATTTTTTATTAATTTAACTAAAATCGGTACGAAAATTTCATAAAAATATATATTTTATTGACTGATTTTGATTCTGAATGTTATACCTAGAATAAGGCATAAATAACATTTAATGCTGTTAGATAACTTCAAAAAAAAAAAAATCTAAATTATTTTATTCATTCACAGACGAAAAATAAGGTAAAAGCACCAAAAAATGGAACCAATAGAAGGACAGTAAGAAAAATGACTAAATTGCTCAGAAATGTACTTGACAGTATATCAAATTGTAAGATCAAAATGTTTGTTCTTAATTTTGATCCACTTTGGAATCAACTCGACACTTTTAAGAAAACATGTGATCCTAAGTCCGCAAAAGTTTTTAAGAACCGAAAAAATAATGAGATGATTTATTTTATTTTAGCTTCAAATTCTTATTATTGTTCGGCACTTGCCTTTGAATAATAATTTCATAAAATCTTACGAACATAAAAAGTGCCTCACAGAATATATACATTAGTTTTGAATCCCAGTCGATTTTTCTGTAAGTTTTTGAATTTAATTAAAATTTTTCTTCGGACTAGAAACTTAAAATTCAAAATTTATACGAAAATCATTTGGGACCCAAAACTAATGTATTTCTTGTGGAGTCCTTAGAGATGTATTTATAGTCCCTTAAGGATATTTAAATCATTATGACGTCACAATTTTGAAACACATGCTTTGCACAAATTGTGACATCATTCTTTTTAGATTTTTTCAATTTTAAAAAATATTGCAGACTTCGGCTTCATTAGTAGGACGTATAATGTTTATATGCCTTTAATGTTTGTGCATTACTTAATATAATGTCAACTATTAAAGTTAGTGTCACTTTATGAATTCATTATTTAGATTAATGCCCGTAAACTTTTTGCCCAACAACTGGTGCATGACGTTAAAAAGCGGAGGGTAAATTTGGACAGTGTAAATTTCAGAGGTAGACATTAAATTGTTACTTCCACTGTACAAAATAAATCTTACTTTCTACTAATTCAGATTTAGAGAGTACTTTTTTAAGATGGAAAAAAATCTTCATTCAATATAATAAAACGTATAAAACATCATCTTAGAAGTCAGTAAGATACTTTAGAAGACATCTTATTTTAAGATGTAAGATTTTTTTCCATCTTACATATTATTTTAAGATATCAAAAAGACACTTATTTTTGCAGGGTCCTGAAGTTAACATCGATGCTCAGCATCAAAAAATATTTTTCCGATGCTCAGCATCGATGTCAACTTCAGGAACCTTTACAATGTTCTTGACTCTTGCAATTAACTTTTTCTCATTAAAAGCAGTTTTTCTAATTGAAAGCATAATTTCTTTAATTGAAAGCTTAATTTTTTGCTAATGTCATCTATTGGTTCCATTTTTTGCTTTGTCCAAGTACTGGTGCTTTTACCTTGACTTCCGGTTTTGGAATTTCTTTTCAGTGCAAGTCCTGCCTGAGTTAAATAAAGATTCCACTGCAACACACTATTTAGGTGACTAATTCAGTATGGAGAAAAGATAATCACTAAATTTAAGAGGGGGGGGGGGACAACACTTGAGAAACTGTCACTGAAATTTTTTTCCCGGTATTTTTCATCACATGTGAGAGAAGCCATCGATATAGTAGGTGAGCAAAAAAAAAAAAAACATGAACAAAATAAATAATGAATGAGAATGAGAAAAAAAAAATAGTGAATTTAGAGAGAAGAAAATCCCCGAGTCCTCACCAATAGCCACGCGTTTCCCGAACCTACCGGTGGCATAACCGGAATTGTTGAGGATTGCGTGGTAATGGGTATGTTGTGCTGCTGTCCCTGTTGGATTTGCTGCTGGTGCATGTTATTCTGAGCGGCGTCCATGACTCCACTGGAATACCACCACTGAACGCCGGGAGGCGCCGAAGATGCGCTGACCGGTACGTTGCCGGGCGCCCCGAGTCTGCTGTAGTCGTACCCGCCGCCCTTCATACACGAGCCCGCCGGGGTGGAGGTGGACACCGAGTTGGACAAGCTGCCGGTGGTAGCGGGGTTTTGAAAACTGGAGGCCATCTTGTAGGAGAAGAGCTGCTGAGTCGCGGCTGCCACGGCTGCCGTACTGCTCACATTGTCCTGATGATGCTGTTGCTGCTGTTGTTGTTGTTGCTGCTGTTGTTGTTGCTGCGAGAGTTGCTGCTGTTGATTCAAAATGTGTTGATGGAGATTCTGTTGTTGCTGTTGATCGTTGAGTCCGGGCCACCATGCGGATCCACCGGAAGCCTCCTCGCGGTTGTTCCCGGGGCTGCCCCAGCCACCGGCAACGCGGTGGTGTTCCGACATGTCACGCGTTCCTGTCCGTCTGTCACTCTCGCGGGCGTCTCGGAAAGGGGTGGGGGGGGGCGGCGGGCAGGAAGGAAGAACGCACGTTTCAACGTGCCACTCACGCACACTGGCAACTGGCGGCACACACACACACTCACACTAACACACAAGTACACTACTACTCCACACGCTCACATCCGCGTGCTCCTCGTGTTCGTGACGCGGAACACACGCGCCTCCACTCTCGCGACGTATGCGTACACCAGAGTCGATCCGAGTTTTCACACAACAACACTTTTTCTCTCCCCCGAGCGCGCGGGATAAACAAAACCGAGGCGAAAAACTGCTAACACGCTACTTGGGATGCGATCTAGACGCTACGCTGTTCAACGTTCGTTAGATCCGTGGGTAGTTCGGAGGGCCAGAGGCGGGTGGGTAGGGGAGGCCGCTCTCCATCTCTCTCGCTCCCATAATATCCCCTCCTCTCTATACTCGCCCCTCTTATTGGCCCGCTGAGGGCGCCCCGCGTCTCTTCCTCTCTCCCTCTCTTTTTCCTATTCGATAGAAATCGAAAAATCGCAATCGCAATAGCGATTTTTCCTTTTCGAAAATAAGTTAACGGCTTTTTTTCCTAACAAAACAAGGAGACTGCGCGAAATTCTCTCTCTGACGATGTATAAAATTGAAAACGCACTGTGTTTGCCCTTCTCTTCAGCTGTGTTTCTGCTGTGTTCGTTCGTTTCTCTCTCCCCAGACACGATATCGCTCTTTCCCCTCTCTTTGGAAACTCTGGTGTGTTCTCTTCTCCTCTCTCTCCCCCCTCTTCACGTTTATAAGTTGGGGCGCACTTTTTCGTTCGTTCTTTCTCTCTCGCGCCTGTGTGACGCGCTCTCTCTCTCTCTCTGGCAGCCCCGGCCTTCCTTCCAGCGGACGCGGTGTACAACGTTGCCATGCCGGGCTTTCACCCGCCCGTTCACAAAGAATAGCCCGAGCCGGTCGACCAATGAGACGCGTGGCAGGTGATGGAAAGAGATGGCGGGAGCGCTGCACGAGGGAGACGAGGCAACAGCGCCTCCTTTCCTTCCGTTTCGTTTCGTTTGGTGAGCGTGCAGTTTAAGCTTTGAAATCGGTTATATATTCCCTTCAGAAACGGTAATGGGACTGGAGAGAATATTACACGATTTTCAGAAAGAGAGGGACTAATTTCCCGAGGAATTTCGTTCAAAATTTCCCTTATTTTCCTAACTTTCCCTTTATTCCCTACACTTTCTTCTTTCATTTCTCCTTTTTTTATCCTTTTTCTTTCTTTTCTTTATTACCTATTTTTCTTTCTTTTCTTTATTTCCATTTTTTCTTTATTTCCTTTTTTCTTTCTTTCTTTTTTCTCCCTTTTCTTTATTTTTTTTTCTCTCTTTCCATTTTTTCTTCTTTTTCCTTTTTCCTTCTTTTTACTATTTTAACTTTCTTTCACGTTTTTTCTACTTTCCTTTTTAATTCTTTTCTTATACCTTTTTTTAAAATCTCTTTCTTCTTCCTCCTCTTCGTTCCTTTCTTTGTTTCCTTTATTTTTCTCCCCCCCCCCTTCCCCCTCGGACACTTTAACTTCAAAACAATACACACAGACAATTTTCGTGTCGAATATTTCAAGGAATAATAGCACCAAAAAATAACCTATAGAATCTAGTAACTTTTATTTATTCTCTTTGTTCTCCTATTTTTTAATAAAAAAAAAAAACTAATTTTAAATTCGTTTTTAATTTTCTTTAATTTAGAATTTAATTTTCTACATTTTAAGTAATTAGCCGTTTTAAGCAATAAAAAGAAGGTAAATTCTTTTCAAATGCAACTTTAAATATTATTTAAAATGATTTTAAAAATATTTTATAATTTAATGTAAAATTTAACGTTAAATTCAACTCAAAAGTTTTTAAATAATTCTACTTAAAAATTTAACGTCAAATTTAAATTTGAATTTTAGGTTATAAGTTAACAAAAATCGTTTCTTGTTTAACAGAAAATTGCAATTTTAATTTAAATTCATCTTTAAATTGTTTAAAATGATTTTAAAAAAAAGTAAATTTAATTTATTTAAAAATTTAACATTAAGGGCATTTAAATCATTATGACGTCACGGTTATTTGGGAAAAACATGTGTTTTAAAACAGTGACGTCATAATGGTTCAAATTCTCTAAAACTTTGAATAAATTAAAGTTTTTTAAAATTTTAAACAATTTAAAGTTAAATTTGAATTTTACATTTTTCTGTCAACAAGAAACAATAATTTAGGCGACTTAACCTAAATGTAAACTTTATTATATTATATTATATTATATTATATTATATTATATTATATTATATTATATGAATTTTTATATAATTAATATTGATAATTAAAATCATAATAATAACAAAGAATAAAAGATTTATAACATAATTATAAATCCGTGTAAATTCGAAAAATGTGAAATTCGAAAATCGTCAACCGTTTTGAAGAGGGAACAAAGAAACTTTTACCAATTAGAAAAAAAAATGTTTTCACAAAAAAAAAATTTGAAAAGAATCGAGCTCCGGAAATTTAAAAGGTTCTTTTTTCTCAAATCGTCTTCTATCTTTGGTATTAGGTCAGAGCTACAAGTATAAAATATACCTGAATAAATTCCTGGCATTTTAGGTTGACCCAAAGCCCAATTTAGAAATATTGAGTAATGGAGTACCGAAAAAAATCAAAATTTCTATTTTCTACAAAAAAAGACAAAAAAAAAAGGAAAGAAAAAAGAAAAATAATAAATGAAAAATTCTTATTTCCCTGTTACATAATATTTGAAGGGTGAATTTTTTTGTCCCCATTTTTCTTTGTTCCCCTTCACAACAATGTATCCAAACTGGCTACTTTAATATTTTTTTTTAATTTCATTTTTGTTTCATTTTTATTTTTTATAAATATTAAATATAAATATTTAATATTAAATAAAATATATTATATAAAATATTTAAATTAAATATTTAATATTAAATATTAATATTTAAATTAAACATTAATATTTAATAATTATATAACGAAAAACTTAATTATAATTAAGTTTTTAATTCCTCCTCAGATTCTTAAATGGTAATTTTCATTTAATATTTTTAATAGATTAAACAATTAAAAATTTTTTATTTTAAATCTAAAAAATAAAATTTCAAAAGAAAATATATTTTCTAATTACACAGAAAATTAGTTGTTGTCTTTACCATAGAAGAAGTTTTTTTTCTAAAAAAAAAAAATAGAGAAAAATTTTCCTTTAATTAGATTACGAGCAGATTTTACTGAATTTTTTATTTTTTCGGTGAAATTACCATAGACGTTCGGCAAGATTTCGCGGTAAAATTACACGAATTTAAATTCTCGAGAATTCCCCGATCTTTGGATGGCCGGGTGGAAGGGAAGGGAGAGAGGGGTGGGGAGAAGGGAGAGAGAAACGGTTACTGCCAATGTCGAATTTAGTGGAGGGGAGGGACTGAAACCCTTCTCTACCCTTGAAAGTCGAGGTCAACTTTTAGGCAAAGCGAGAGAAAGAGAGAGAGAAACTTGGGAGGCAAGACGTTTTTCTTCGCCTTTTTTTCTCCTCTGTTTTTTTCGCTTTAACTCTTTACGTCTCTTTTTCTCCTTCTTTCTCGATTTCTTCGTCATCTTCTTCATCTCCTTCACAAGTTTCATTATTTCTTTTTTTATTTTGCTTTTCTCTTTCGAGTCCGCGCTCCGGTCACTGCGGAATGCACCTCCAACTCGCGAAACACTTCCTGATTTTCCCCAACTTTTTTTTCTATATAACTTCCTCGAAGAAATTCGGTTCTTTTTTACCGACTGGAACATTCACCTGTCACTGTCGGTAATTACATTTCTCCCTTTCATTAAAAAAAAAAATCCCCTTTTCAAAGGAGAATTTAAATTAAAAACTTTTTCCCATTAAAAAAAAATTTCACAAAATTGGTTATAATAATAATAATATTCTCTCAAATAATAAAAATTCTAATCAATATAATATTTACAGTTTTAAAAATAACATTCCCGGGGAATTTTATACTTGCGCCTTCAATTCTCTTTATGTTCAATAAAGTGATGCAATAAAAAAATATTGCAGGGACGAAGGCGAATAATAAGGGACCCGGGTAGAATAATTTCAAAAATGAATAAAAGAAGAAAAAAATTGATAAAAAAATGACAAGGTAAAGAGAGAGAAAAACAAAAGAAAATAATGGCGAGGAGCGTGCGCGCGTCTTTCTCATCATCTTTCTCTGTCTCTCTTGCTGCGTAATGGATTCGAGAGTCAGGGGCGGATGGGCCCCCTCGAGCCACTGGATCAATTATTATCGACACTCAGCTTCCTTCAATGAGAAGAAAACACTTCAAAACATAATTGCCTACCCTTTTTTCCTCCTTTTCTCTTTACGTACACTCATTTCACTTTTTAAAAACAAAAAAATTACAAACAAAAACAATGTTTAAAAAATATATTTTTGTTTTTAAAAATCGAAAAAAATTTATTTAAAAAAACAAATAATTTTAATACTAATTTATAAAATCAAAAAGAATGTTTCGTAAAGTTAATAAACTTTTTAAAATTTTTAATAATAAACTCTGTTTTAAAAATTTTTTGATGAAAAAATTATTTTTATGTACTTAAAATAAAAATCTAAGGAACCAAAGATTTTTTAAAAATAGGAATTTTAATTTGTTACAAAAATTTTCATTCAAAATCGAAAAAGTTTAATTTAAAATACATGAATTTTGAATTTGTTACAAAAAATTTTATTCAAAATTGAAAAATTTTAATTTAAAATAAAAGAATGTTAAAATATCAATATAATTTTACTTACAAAATTATTCAAATTAACAAAATTCAAATTTTTTGCCCTCTTATAAAAAGTGTTTTAATTTCAATAACAAAACGTTTTTATTAAAAATAAAAAATTTTAATTTCGATTAAAAAAAGTTGAAATAAATGCAAAAATTTTTTAATTTTAGTAAAAAAAATGTTAATTTAAAGCAAAATTATTATTGTAATTAAAAATACAAGCACAAGTTTTATTGAAAATTAAACTTTAAATTTAATTTTTAATTTACCTGCGCAAAATTTAATGTTAAATGTAACTTAAAAATTTTTAATTAACATTAAAACTAATACAAAAATTTGTCTCTAAAATGCAACAATCAAATGTTTTATTTTAAAATCAAACAATTAAATTTTTCATTTAAAATGAAAAATTTTAAATAATAAAATATAAAATTTTTAATTTCAGTCAGAAAAGTTTTAATATTTAAAATAAAAGAATTTTAACTTGAGTGAAAAAATTTATTTATTTGAAACGAAAAATTTTTCAATTAAAATTACAAAGGAATTTTATTTAAAATACAAAAAGCAGTTGAAAATTTTAAGCCAAAGAATTTTAGTTAAAAATAAGAAATTTGAAGCAAAAAACCAAATTTTTTAATTTTAGGCCTTTAATATTGGAAAATTATTGAAAACTTTGTAAACAGAAAGAAAATATTAAAAAATAATTAAAATTTAAAATAAATTAATATGAAAAATACTTTAGATTGTGTTTTATTATTTAATATAATAATAATAATAATAATAATAATAATAATAATATATAATTTAATATATTAAACATGTTAATATTATTATTAATTTTATTATTATAATTATTAATTTTAACAAAAATGATATAATTTTTTTAGAAATTTATGAGCAAATAATTTAAATAACAGTTTATAAAACATAATAACAATAAATTAAACATGTTAATAATTATAAAAAGTTGTAGAAATTAATTTAAAAAAATTAAATTTTTTGCATTTTTAAAAATTTTTTTAAATTTTATTTAAATTAACATTTTAAAAAATATTTAAAAAATTTTCCCCTTTATGAAAATAATTATTCAGTTATTGTTCTCAACGATTTTTACTAATAATAAAAAAAAAAATTTTACCTGAGATAAAAATTAAATTTTTTGCATTTTTAAAAATTTTTTTAAATTTTATTTAAATTAACATTTTAAAAAATATTTTAAAAATTTCCCTCTGGAAGAAAATAATTATTCAGTTATTGTTCTCAACGATTTTTACTAATAATCAAAAAAAAAAAATTTTTACCTGAGATAAAAATTAAATTTTTTGCATTTTTTAAAATATAAAATAAAAATAATAATTTTTTAATAAAACGAATTTTTATA